CAGTGCCAAAAAAAAAAAAAAGTAGTGGATTTCATTTTGTTTGGTACTTACTTGTTGCTTTCAGCTTTCTTGAGCTTTGTTCTGGAACACAATGAATTCACTTGGAAACTCATCCTTTTAAAGTTTGCTTTTAAGCTTTCTTTGGCTAAGCCAGAGCAGCCTGTAGCAGACTAGCGTTTCTCCATATCAACATGACTCCCAGTGATCCCCGCAGAGCCCCAGGGACAGCCCTCCAGCTCCTCTACACACTCTTCCCCCAGATTCGAGTTTCATCACAGGTGTGCGCAGTGCCTCTCTGATGCTGTTTTCCTGGGCTCTCGCTGGTAAGTGGAGCCTCCTTGGCCTTCACAGCTCCCAACTCCATCCCCCACCACCACCCAGAGAGTCAGAAGCACCTCTGTCCAAATCCTCCTTCTGCTGCCTGGAAACTCCAGGCACCCAGCAGAGGCACCCACAGGGCTCACCTCTGTTTCCCTCTCAAGGCTGCTGTTCCATGCTGCATCTTGTCCAGTGTCTGAAAACCACTGTTTCATATAATTTTCTCTTCTTGTTTTTGACTTTGTTTAAGGTGGGAGCATTCCCCACTTCTTGATCTTTCTTTCTATAAGAATTTCACTAATGTAAAGTGGGGAAACCTCTCTTGTCGAAAGGAGAGTGTGACCCAGTTTACAAAGTTATTCATCTCCTAAGAAGGCCTTAGCATCTGTGGTGTCATGTTACTAATCTGTCCCATTAGTGAGCCTGAACTCTGCTTTCTTCTTTCTTCATTCCCTGAACTTGAGTGTTCTCCAGATATTTTTTCGTTACTTAAATTCACAAGAGAAAGTGCTGAAGTCATCTGTGCAATCTCCTGACGTGTTACCACGTGGCACCTAGAAAGGATTCTTGCAACTCCCAAGGACACACACTGCGGTCAGGCTCATGCTTGCAGGTTTAATGACATTGAAGCTCCCTCTTCTAACACCTATGTGACAATGCAGGCACCCGCAGGACCCACCAGAGACAGGGTCGGAGGAGCCTCTGTATTTAACATCTGGTATAGGAATATAAGGACCTGCTACCCTGGCTCAGACAGCCCACGCTCACTGAGGAGGACTTCAGGCACCAACCCCAAAATGGTCCTGGGCTGTCTCCCTAGCTAGCATTTTAAAAGCAATCTTAGTGTGTTTGGCTGTGGGCTAGATGCATCATATTAATAATTTTATGCAATTCACAGAGCCCACACAGGGCCAGGAATAACACATGTTCCCACCAGCCAGAATTTCTGGGACACATACTCTGAAGATTATCAGCTCTGTGTTGGAGAAAAGATTAGTCCTACTTGAGTTATTTTAAAAAAAAGCCTCTTATCTCCTACTGTATTCTCTCACTCAAAGCAGAAGTGTTCATAGAAACTTCATAACGTCCACTGGTCTTCTCATGAATTAACACAAGACCCATGACTCACTGGGTTTGCTCTGGGTGGTCGGTCTGTGCAAGGACTTTCAGCTTCTCTCTGTAGAGCAGGGACTTCCAATTGTGTGCCAGGACGAAGAACACCCTTTACATATGGGTCTAATTATTGAAATTATTCAGAGAGGAAATTCAGTGTTTAGAAATGTTTGTGCCCACAGCCTCACAGATTGTGGTCTTTGGTTGACCACAATCCTTATCACATATGAAAAAGTAGAACCATTATCCTAGGGAATACGACAAGTACCTTTTCTTGCATAATTTCTAAGTCTCAGGATAACACGAGCCTTCACTTAGGGGCCTTTGCTGAGATTTCGGGCAGCAGTGACTTAGCAACTCTTTGCCTGGTTCGTGAAATGTCATTGTTATTTTGAAAATATTCTTAAGACTTAAGTTCTAAGTCATTCAGTAGAAATTTTTTATGAAGACATACCAAACAGTTTCACAGTTAATTTTCTTTCATGCTTTCCTGCAACCTCAGATACAGTTGATTGAACCTGTGCATTCTTTATCGAGCTTCTCTGCCCAAGCCTGATGCATTGTTTGTCCCTTGGCTGGCAAACTCTGAACCTCTGTTGGAGGGGAGGGAGCTCAGTTCCCGGAGCATGGATTCTTACTTAGCCCATGAAATGGAGTCTGTGTGTAGCCAGGGGCGTGCCCCTGAGCAGGAGA